ATTAATTATATTACCCTTATAAAACTTATCCCGGTGCCTATTTTTAATTAATTATATTAAAACTGCATAAATTTAAAGTTACCCAAAAAAGGCTAAAAGCTACCCTAAATTTGGTAAAAATTACCCAATATTTGCTAAAAGTTACCCAAACACTGCTTGATGTACATTAAAATTATTGTAAGGCCGTGTTCATTTCACCTTAAAAAAATAATATTAAATAAAAATAATTTCAGTTCAGTAAAATTAATTTCAGTTCAGCAAAAATAAGTTCAATTTAGTAAAAATTATTTCAGTTTAGTAAAAATCAGTAAAAATAATTTCAATTCAGCAAAAATAATTTCAGTTCAGTAAAATTAATTTCAGTTCAGTAAAAATAATTTAAGTTTAGCAAAAATATTTCAGTTCAGTAAAAATAATTTCAGTTCAGCAAAAATAATGAAAGTGAACGGGACCTAAATCGGGTGTATACAAAAGTTTTTATTTGTATCAAATATAGGAATTTATGTAGGGAAATTCTCTTTGGTAATACTTTAGTTTTTTATTTTCTCAATGGTAAATTGTAAAAATTCTTATTATCCTTGGTAAACTTTAATTAGTTATAATCATTGCACATTAATGAAAGTATAAGCTTAACCCTAATTAACTAAAGACATAATGACTAATTTAACCCTATTCCTCAATTCTAGCTTTTCCTCCAAAAGCCATCAACCCAAAAACTATTGCCCAGTGACCAGAACCATCGCCTAGCAACCATAGCCGCCGCCTAGCCGCCATTGCCATCACCACCGAAACCACCACCCAACCGTCGACACCACCGCCATTAACCGACCTAACTTCATCGCCCACCCAAATCGGCCTAAACCCACTTGAAAAAACCTATCCCCTAAAAACCACCCCACCGAAAACACCCTAAACCCTCCCCATATGCGCCATGTTCGACTGTAGGGACAGAGAAGAATAGGAGGGGGTGAGTTGGTACACACTAGAAATGGACCCACTCCATAGAGAGGAGGACTCGTCCCCGTCGTCCACTCTAGACTCCTTAGTCTCAGGCGAATGTCTGGCCTCATGAGGAGAAACGGACGAAGCAGAGTGTTGAGCCAGTTCTTGTTAGAAGACCAAAAACAAGTAAAAGAAAAAGGGAAGAAGTAAAGAAGAGCAGGCGGTTACCTCCGTACGTGTAGAAAACGATGAAAATCTCTGAAAGTCTTGAAGGTTGACCGGAAAACTCAAAAATCTGAACGGAAACCTCAAATGTACGGCTGAGCTCTCGAAGATTCAAAGAAAATTACTTTCTCTCTCTAAAAAGCTCTGACTTCTCTCTAGAATTCTCAAAGTTCCAAAGTGCCAAAATGAAGTCAAACCTCTTCTATTGATAGGCCGAATTTATGGGGGAAAAATGGTAAAACCAACTTTCCCGCCCAAAAATTTGAACGGTACCTTTCCAAAAAAGTTCAAACAGTTAAAAAACCGCTCCGTGATTCAAGACGAGAAGAAATACGGATACTCTAACGGCGCATCAAAATAGACGTCTAGGTCAGCAAAATTCGAACCGCCACTCCGAAAAAATCGGAGGATAGATCTTCTTTCTCAAGCCGGCACAACTCGTTTGCCCGATTTAAGACTTAAAAAGTCCCCTTAAGAAATCAGGAGGACCAAACAAGGCGTTCAGCCCAAAGGAGAAATCCCCTTGATAGGCGAACGACATCGTCCGCTTACTATAAAAAATGCTCAAACGCCTGTGTACTCGGACATATTCGGACGAGTAGAAGATTAGAGGAGGCGGACCCATGAAGAACGAGCCACCCCTTCTCAGGGGCAAATGTTTAGGGTAAAAATTACCCCCACACGTGGACCAACCAAATAGTGACACGTGGCCCAATCAAAGGGCAACACGTGTCCCTATAAGAAGATGACACGTGTAAAACCCTAAAGAGCACCTGAAAAAGAGAGTAAAGGGCCTCCTTACATCAGGAGGCCCAAATCCCAAAAAAGCCGCAAAACGACGCCCCTCTTAGGACACGTGCCAACACCTGATTGCGCCGCCAATCAGAGGACGAAATTCTAAGGTAATAACCCTAAAGGGGCACAATTCCCCACCCCCCAATCATTCATGATGGGAGGGGTGGATGGTGACATAACATTAAAAAGAGCATTAAGAGCTCCAGCTTCTCTTTACTTTCTCTCTCTAAATTTTCCTTTTCCGATCACTAACTTGACCGTCGGAGGCGAATATTCCGGTAAACGGAATATTCGTTGCTTTGCAGGTATCCGCGTCCATCCGGCCGAGAGCGTGACCAGTATCCCGAGGGATTCACAAAAAACCCCGAAACAAGTGATTTTTAGCATTTTTCTTTGAGTTTGTCTCGAGTTAAAGTGTTTCCTTATAGGTTTGAGTTTGTTCTTGAGTTATAAGATTAGGGTGAACTTTGAGTGTGTTCTTGAGTTTTGGTTATCTATTCTGTTTCGTGAGTAACATGTTCCAAAAAGTTTGAATCCATCAACCTATATTCGGGTGGGTGTATCTAGACTTACATCAAGGAAAGCCACTGATAATTCGAACGAGACCTTTGGTACAGTTTAGGGATTACTTTTCCTTGTGAGCATATAATAGATTGATTGGGGTAGAAATTTGTCTTATATTGATTATGCTAGTGGTGATACTTAATTTAGATGTTTTTATTACCTTGGAGTCATGACCATGGTGGCCTTTAACGTTAATAGATTCGAGATTGAAGGAATCGTAACCAAGGGAGGATCTTCATTGGGGCTCATAGGGATTCAGCCTTTATAATTTTTTTAAGAGTTACTAGACGCGCGTGATAAAAATATTGTGTCAAGTGACAGATCCGACAACTTTTTCAAGTGGGTTCAAATAGATGAATATTAAAATTTAATCTAACATAGATACTTTTACTACTTAATTTAAAAAAATTAAAATTTAGATTTTTTTTTTTTTTTTGAGACCTTAAATTTTTACGCTCAAATTATAACATTACAAGTTTATTTCACAACTCACAATTTATCAACTACAAATTCAAAATGGTACGTATGTTTAAATTATATTATTTTGTACATACATATATTGTACATGTATCACAATATGTTGTTTGCATTTACTAGCCCATATAAGTTTGTGTAAATTAATATTTAGATTAGACTCGCATATTGTTTCCTTATAGTGATTAATTATATTTATTTATCATATTTAATTGTATGTAACAAGCTTTTATAAGAGTTAAGTGAGGTCGATTGTGATGTGCATTAAGAGGCTAATTCTTTTTAAAGATCTAATACACTTTTAGAAGGTCTAAATAACTCCATTACAGGCTGCCCAAACAAGGAACAAAACAAGGAAAGGTTCAGTAGCTTAATTGAGAAGGAAGGAAGCATGATTTCCAAGGAAGAAAAAATAACACATCTCACTTACGGCAAAGATTCCGGCAGCCACACGCCGACTCAGACCCCCTACGCCGGCTCCCTAACTCCGGCCTGGACTCACCTTGACGGTGGTCAGGCATGTGCACCTCCTTGGTGGAGCACTGGAGCGTGTAACACTTTTCAGCTCTGAGAAGAAATGCCTCATAACTTGTTTTACTTTGTTTTTTCTAGAGTTTTTGCTTGCAAATTTTTATTACCTTTCACTTGAAAGGGTTTTTCTTGGTTTAAGCACTTAGGATAGACTTTAATTTCTGTTATTTAGTTTCCATAAAGTTTCTAAGGTTGTACTGTTAGGAAAGTTGTTAGTTACATAAAGTTTGTTCTAATTAGTTTCCTATTCTAATTAGAAATAGTTATCATATTCTAGTTAGGTTGCTTGGAGCACAAGGTTAGGGGATAAATCCTTGTAGGAGTAGTATTCGATGCCTCTTATGCTTATAAATAGGAGGTAATTTCGTGGATTTAGAGAAATAGAAAAATCATATTATTTTCAATACAAATTGTTTAGCTTTGCTTAAATGTTTTCTTTGCTAGTTTTCAATTTAAGGAGTTGTTTGAAGATTAGTTTGTCAATTCTTAGTTCTAGGAGGAGGTAGGCTAAGATTTGATCTTCAAAATACTTAGTTCTAGGAGGTAGTCTAAGTAGTTTGAGTAGGATTTTGAATTCGTTCCAAGAGGTGGTAACATTCAAGGTTATATCCGGTTACTTTACGTTTTTGTTTTGAGTTTCTTATCAAGAATGGGTTGTATTCCTTTCCAAACTCATAAAGGTTGACTAATACACAAAATATTTTTGTTACTGTATTATTCAATGGATGACAACTTAGTCCTACAATTATACTTGTAGATTACTACCTTCGCTTCTAATAAATACACTTTGTATTTTTCGTTTATTTTGTATAAGAAATACGTGTATAAGAAATATGAAGTATAAGAAATAATAATCTACTAACTTATTGGAGTATAGATAACAATCTACACACGTATTGTATTACTTATACATTTCTTTTGTTTGGGCTCACTCCCTATATGTGTACACACACGTAACGCATTGGAAATGGACGCATTAAACTTTGGGTTGTTAGAATCTTGGCCCTGAGGTACCTTTACAATTCATTTAGCACCAAAAGTTCAAAACTGATGCTCAAGCACAGAAGGTGATGCTCGAAAGAGCAGAAAAATTTCTAAACCACCTGCAAGGCGTCATGTTTTGTGTGTCATTATTGATTTGAGCTGCTGAATTCAAATGGATGGTGGTCATTGAATCACACAAGGAGAACTGGAGAAGCTAACACAATTGTCGTGGTTTGGGATGCAGATGGGATGAGCTATATAATTCATTTGGCTGTGTCATATGCAACAAGGAAGCTTAAGATACAGACATCTTCGGGCTGCTAAGAGCTTATGGCCTTCTGTCGTTGGTACTGCATTTACAGTTTACAGTTTATCTGTATGCTGCGCTCAAGGACTGGTGGTCTCATTTTTCTGTGCCAGTTTCCAATACACTTTGTACATCATTTTATTGTTATTACAAGGAAAAAGCATGTAGATATGCTGTCCAAAAGTCAGTTTCCATTAATATCACAGCCAACATTACAATAAAGATGTAACAGGCCCCCTCATTACACATGCAATTGTCAATATTCATACATTTACAAATTGTGCACCATACATGAAGGCAAAAATCGGTGCATCAATGATAGATAATCGACAGTTAAATTAGATAGATTCATGATTAGTATTTCTGGACTCGTATTCAGGGGCTGTAATCCTAGAGGCTTTAAATATGCTTGGCCTTCTTTCTCAGCAGGTCTTATGAGAAACCTTAACCATCCAAAATTATCATACTTGAAAACACCTGTTTACAATATTCTGGTGAAAATTGGGTTTTTTACCAGTTCTCTAGCAGAAGGTCGCCTTGTTGGATCTGGATCCACCATGAGCTGTCAAATTATGTGCAAATATCATACATTGTTACAGATAGTCACTTCATTTTCAATCAACACACTTAATAAAAGTGCTTAAGGATCAAAACTATCTCCAATTGTCTCTTTCTAGGAATTCAGAATTATAGGGTTTTATTCAATTTCCAGCAGGTTATCCAGTATCCACTATAAGTAAAATACGTTGAGCTCAAGGTGATCAGTACTATTAGCATGATACTTCGTATATTTATTTCTTTTGATTAACGAGGAAGAAAAAAAAAAGGAAAAGGAAACTTCAATAGTAAACTTAAAGTTGAGACTCGAGTGAGTATACCTTGATCAAGTTTTGTAACTGCAGTGAATTGCTAGGAAGCAGTGGTAGTTTCCCCTCCCTCAAAACCTGATGCACAGCATCTGGCAATGATGAACCTCGCAAAAGCTCATAGATAGAAACCCCCAGTGAAAATATATCAACTTTATCAAGATGATCATACTTCTCGTTCAAGATTTCTTGAGGCATATAGCGTGCATCGCCTTCTTCAATGGGAAGACTATTATCTAGCAGTGTGGCACAACCAAAGTCACCAAGCTTATAGCTACCATTTTTGACATAAATGTTTTCTGGCTTTACATCTAAGTGAGCAATTCCTCCTGCATGTATGTATTGCAATGCTCTGGCGATCTGCAAACACAAGTTTTAGGAATGTGCAACTACAAGAAATAATCTTACTAGAACACCAACAAGCCACCAAAAGAACATTCAAAGATCAGTTGAAAAAGAATAACAAAAATAATGCCCAAAAAAAAAAAAAAAAGTTTTAAGTTTCAAGAAAGGTGTTGTACACACTGTGGCAAGGTATATGGTAAATAAAAACTACATCAATGCAATGAGATAAATTTCATTTTATCCAGCTTAATAATGAAAATTGCACCAAATTTTCAGTTCAAAGAGGCAATCATGTCGAGTTGGATAGCTCATCAATTTAACCTTATAGAACAACATGGCAACATTGTCAAGGCAAAAGTCAGAAGAAAAGGCTACCTGTAAAAAAACCTCCAAAACTTCTTCCTCAGTAAGCGAGCAAGATGTATTATAACTGGAAAGACTATAGTCACAAAGCTCCATTTGTATATACAGTTGCTCATTTTCAAACCAGGAAGTGTGATAAGCAACTATATTTTCGTGAAATCCTGCACCAAGTGAAATTATCTTTCAGACCATTAATCAGAGTCAACAATAAAAATATTGCTAGCATCTTTGAGACAGGTCTCATTTGACAAACCTAGAGCAGCCAGTGCTTGAACTTCCATCAAAGCTTTCCGCCTGCAGTAGACAATTCAAAAAGGCAGTTGCCAGTTAATAAGGATTGACAATCAGACAAGTGAATATAAATTGCTTCAGATTCTAATGAAAAGTGAACATACCTTTCTGTGTCTAGGCACAATTGCTTAGTGCTACGTTTTACAGCATAGAGGCAACCATCAATTCTCTTCAAGACTTTATATACATGACTGAAGTTTCCACTTCCAATTTGCTGAGAACAAGGAAAATATTTAGTATTATTTAAAGCTTACTTTATTTGCAATTCAGTATTTGCATAATATCTGGCAACTGCTGACAATACCTCTATTTCTTGGAAGTCTGTACGGTAGCGTGACATGCTTTCAGCACCAGCAGACGCAGAGAGATAACCTAAGCAAAATTGTACATAATATAATCTCACTATCTCATAAAATAAGCACCATATGACCAAGAGGCAAGAGAACTTCCACATATCAAAAGATTTATAAAAAACCTAGTGAGTAAACCTTAGAGACCAAAAAGGAACTATAAAGTGGAAAGTAGAAGCAGCTAGAGAGTTGACAAAGGAAAAACCTGAACACTTTGTTCTCCAACTTCCAAATGGATCCACATCCATTTCCACGGCATCCTTTATATAAGGGTTCTTTAAACAGGGAGGTGGCATAACACGGCAACGTAAAGCAATAGCTGACTGTGGGACATAATTAGGACCATTGTCCAATGCAGTAGCTGCGATTTTTCCTGTCTTGTTTTCATTCACATAATTTGTATCATTTGCAAGTTCCACTGCCTGTTGATGATCCAACATAGAAGCTGGAGATTTTACAAAGCTGCCATCTGTTGAGATTATGAAAAGTTCACTGATGAAGGTATTAAAAAAATGTATTGAGTTTGCAAGTGAAAAGTTAGTAAAGAACTAAAGATGCTAAATAGAGCAAATAGATATATGAAATCAAATAACTTAAATAAATAGACCATTCAAAACAACAAAAAGGAAAACAAATGAACCATACATTTCTTTTTGAAAACCTTTAGAAACCCAAATTGATCAGGATAGTTTCACATTTTTACAACCCAAATAGACAGCCAAAGTTGTGAGTTGAGAGAAGTACATATAATGACCACATTACATCACTATTTTGAAACAAACAGTACATGGAAGCAGGAAGTAGATCTTTTCAAAACACATGGGTAGAGAGTCAAGCAGAAGTCCCCATTCCTACAAGCTATCAAAACATGAAAAACCAATAATAAATTGGTCGGGTAATTGTTACAAGTTTACAACTATATATTGGATTCCACCATTGCCAGATGAAGGTCTAGACAAGCATTATGCCCATTAACAACAAAGACTTCAAAAAGACTATTGTTAAAAGCCACATCAAGAACACTTTCTAAATATAAAGTCGATAAGTACAAGAGAAGGAACCCAACAACGCATTCAACACATTATTATCTTGCAAAGCCCTCAATTATATAGGCAAATACAGTCGAGAGATGTCTATGACACTAACAAAAGGAGCTAGTGTGCTTCAAGACAAACTTCATCATAAACTAATATCAAGCTAAGAAAACAACCTCCATCAAATGAAATAGAAAGAATTTTTTACTAAATTTAGAAAAAGGAAAAAAAAAAAAAAAAAAAGTCTAATGTAATGCTATAAGCTTGCAGAGAACACGATTACCTTGATTTAATCTTCTACTCTTGACAGTCTTCAACTTTTCCGGCGAAGCCGGACATGAAATATGTTCCTGCCAACAGAATCAAAATGCCCAATTCTCCATCACACAAAGACAAACTAAAACAAATTTAAATAACCAACCTTGAATTGTCACAATTGCCAAATATCAGTACTCACCTTATTGGCATCAAAATCAACAAACAAATTCTGACATTCCGGAGTAATGTAATCAGGTGTGCTGCAAACAATTTCCCCAAAAACAAAATTACTTGAAAATCCCAATTACCAATACAAATTCAATCAACCAAGCAAAAACCACTCCTATCAACTAAACCCTAACCTAATTAAACCAACAGCCAAATCAAATTAACAATCAACAACCCAATAAAACCTCAAATACCGATTAAAAACACAATTACCATAGCAAACAACCCAATTAATCAACAAATTAAAGGTATAAACTTTAATTTTAAAAAATCAATAAAATCAAAAAAACGAGCTGTACCAAAAGAAATCCTGACTAAGAATTTCGGTAGAACCAAAATCGGAGGCATCGGCAGCATTGATAGCGAGGTTAGAAGAATCAGATTGAGGTTCGTTGTTAGAAGAATCGTGAATTTGGAGGTGTTGTTTAAGAGAGGGAGGACGAGAGGGTAAAGATTGGAGAGGTCTAGTGAGAGAAAGTTTGGGTTGTTTTCTCTCTCTAACAGGGTTTCTCCTTTGACTTCTTTTCTTCATTTCTGGAAATGGAGGATGAGAGGAGTGAAAATGGAAGAGAAGGGTTTTTTGTGTATTTAGTTTTTGGTGAAAATACTGAAAATGAAAATGAATTCGAATTTGCGCGGGGTGACTGAGTGAGGGAGTGTCAGTGGTGACTTGAGTTGATTGTTGAGATGGAGTGAGCTTTTTCTGGCTTTTGTCGTTTTAGTGGGAATTATTATTATTATTAATTTTTTTTTTTTGTATAAAGATTTTAGTGGAAACTAGGTTTATTCCCGTGCATTGAATAATTATAATAACGATATGATTGAATAAAAATTAATGAATCGTTTCACCAAGTATTAAACACATGAAATATATTAAATAATAAAAATATGTGCGTCTCCATTTAGATATTTTAGAATGTTTACTTTAGATTTTATATAAAAAAATAAAAGTCATAATCTAGATGCAAACTTTATTTTTATATAACAATGATTTTTTTTAAAAAAGTAATTTGGTGGGAAATTTTATAATAATACATTATCAAACGTCCTCTTAAATTTGCTTTTAATAGTATGTACTCCTTCTGTCCCTTAATTTTTGCCCCAATTTCCTTTTTAGAGTGTCCCTTTAATTTTGCCTCATTCTATTTTTGGACATATGGGTCCACATTTCTACTCTCACAACCACCCCATTAACCCTACCACTTTTCTCTCTCATCACTTGTTTCCAACCAAAACTTAATAAAGTAACATTACACTATAGAGCAAAATATAAGAGACGGAGATCAGTACGGAGTACTATTTAGATGGGTTATTCCCTCTTACTTGGAGGAAAACCCAGTCATAATAAGATGGGTTAGCATTTTAATCATATGAACAAATGCATGTTTGGACCCATGTAAAGTTGGTTTTCTTTAATGAGAGCAAAATAAAGTCAAAAGGGGATTGTGTACACAGCAAGCCAAACACACTCACAAACACAATGGGGAGGCATAGAAGGAGAAACAGGGTTATCCATAGAAGATGTCCGAATTTTCCATCTTATCGACACTTTAACGAAAGCCGATCAATACCAAATTTAGACAAAAAAAAAAATTCTTGCCATCTCATGCTCTACATATTTAATATTGAATTATCATTTTGTGCTCCAAATGTTGGTTATACGTATTCAGTCATAATATCTCTCTAGTTGAGTTTATCCACTTGTTAGTGATGTATATGGAGAATGGTTTGTCCCAAACGTGTTGTTTGATTCTGTAGAGCGTCTAACATTGTTTATTAGAGAAGGATTATTTGGTGTACCATTAATTATCATTGATTAGTGGAAGGGCTTGGTGTTGGCTTACGGTAACTGTGGTTTTTCTAGATTGAGTTTCCACCTACATTTTGGTGTGCTTTATTTATTGCATTTGGGCGATTTAGAATAGCTTATTGGTGTGTATATAGTGTTTGCTCGAGGTTATTAGTGACTTTTTCCATTCTACAACACATTAGGAAATAAGACCATTGTACTTCAACTTACAATTGTGCATTATGTGTGCTTCTTTCCCAATAAACTGGTATTAGAGTACGTCGAGGTTCTACTGTTATATTTTTGTGTTGTTGAATAATGGATGAAAAAGTTGTACATGGAGTGATTTACTTGAAACATACTTTTTTTTTTTTTTTTAGTTGCAACAGTTTGACTTTTACATTCATGAGTTCCACTTTGACTAGCTTTGATGATTTATAGCTATGCAAAAATATAGTCATGTGAAATTTTATTAGATTCGTCTCGATATATACTATTTAAATATCAAATGTTTATAATTTTTACATATTGGTAATTAAAGATATTAACGATTGAAATTAGGCATCGACAAATGTGAAAAGAGAAGTGTTGCAACTATAAAGAAACAGAGGAAGTAGTAATTAATTACTCGTATGGAAAACGAGAAAGAAAGATATCATTTAGTACATAAAGAATTTGCGTGAACCAATTTTGATGAGGCTAGATCAAGTGTCAAGGATGCTGCTGCTCGAAAGTTGCTTAATCGAAAGGTTGTAGGTTTGATTTGGCAGTTCATTGATCAAAGTTTTTTTAGCATATAGCAAGTGACACTAGTGCTTTGGAAGAAGTTCAAGTCTAAAAAGTTTATGAGTACCAAAGATAATTTGATAAAACTTTGTTCGCCATAGAGAATTTTATAAAACTGAAGAGTACCAAAGAGAATTTCCCAAAATGTAAAGCTAAAAAATCATGGAATGTGGAAAGTAAGACATTGTATAAAGGGGCGGGTCTGAGATGGTCTGGACTTACATTAGTGTGTTCGGAATAATGCGGATATAGAACGTATGACATTGTGTAAAGGTCCTTAAAGGGATGCCATGGATGGAGTAGAAAATAGCAAAGTCCGGAACACAGCACAAGTTATGCTGATCAACTACCATTGTAAGTTCCTCAATCGAAACCTTGTTATCGAGCTCATAATAGTAAGTCTTCCAGTAAGCATATTTCTATGTGAACATGATGATCATTAGTACCAAAGCAAATGCTATTGGAAGATATCCTCCATGAGCAAACTTGGAGAGCACCTTGCATGGCTCAAGTAAACCAACTCGACAGACGGACAAAATGCAGCAGATATACAGAAGCACAAGTATTATGTGCGTCTTCCATACAAATATTAAGGAATGTAGTTTAGCGTAAGCTTTGCCAATGCTTGTGTTAGTTCTGAATCCAAGTGTAACAAAAATACATGCAAATATATGAGTAGATAATTGAGTTCTGTATATAACTTGGCCTTCAAATTTGGCTGATGTGTGAACAACTTTAACTTGAGAGAAGCATTCTAGAGTTAGAGACAGGGGCATATTTATGTTCAATTCAATGTAATGGGGTCAATTAACCCCATTTATTTTGTACAAAATATTCTTGTTACAAATATTTGAAAGTTGAAAATATAATAAGTTATTTAACATAGAATTATATAATATGAGAAAAGTGATAAAATTATAATTAATCTATTAATACCAATAATTATATGTGTTAATAATGTGTTTAATATATATATGTAGTTTCATGTAATTTGTCAATTTATAATTAAAAAAAATACAATATAATTAATTTTTACTTAATTTGAACCCACTTATATAAAATGCTAGATTCGCCATTGACTAGAGATTGATGGAAGATAGAGAAAGTCTCTGATATCATTGCTTGGCTAGCTATAATTGTAGCTAAGACTGTCAAAACAAACGTCGGGCAGTATAATGAAACTGTAAAAATAAAAGCCAAAATATTGAGCAAAATATTATACGTTACTCATCATGTTAAAAATAAGTTGTTGATTTTCTTACGTGGTACCGCTTCGTAGAAAGCATTACCAACCTCCAATGAATGTGTGTTAAAGTAAGATGTTTGATTAGTATACTGCAAGACAGGGTATTTTTACACTTCTGACTGTTTCACTTGTGATAGGAGATGGTGTTTTTACACCTTGTATGTCAGGTAATATTACTTGTTTTTTTTTGTTTGTATTTTTTCAGTACCATTATATTTTTATTTTTAATTTTGAATTAATAAAGGTCTTTAATTGACATGAATTTAATAGTTGTATTATCTGCTACGAGAGGGATCAAAAGAGCTTCATCTTCTTTAACATGATACGTGATATATATATATATTCTTTATATAGAAAAGATACTCCCTTTTGTTTCATGAATGTTAGTGTCTACATGATTGTACGCATTCGTTGTGAAAATGCAATATTGTTTCGTGAATTGATTCTATTTACTTCTCCATAATTATAATTATTTCTCTTGCAAAAATGGTGGTTTTGATGTCAGTTATCATCTTAATTTTTCTTTTCCTGATGCAATAAGTGTGGGACTGATAAAGTCAGATATCTTTTCGCTTTCTTAGCATTTGGTTTATATTAAATGGTGCTATTGGCATCTACAATGTCATGAAACACGATCCATCAATCATTAGGGCTGTGAATACATGGAGGGTTGGTCCTCTTTTGGTGGTATTATCCTCTGTGTTACTTGTAATTTTTCTTGTTTTTTCTTAGACTTTTTTTCAAATCGTATATGTAATCTAGTCGTGGTTTTAAAAGAAATTTGTGGAAGTATTAGCTTTTTATTAATAATTAATAATTAGTAATTAATTGTTAGTATTTTGTATTAGTAATTAATAATTAGAAATTAGTATATAGTAATTAGTAATTTTTTTTTTTGAAAACTAGTAATTGTAATTAATAATACTGATAATAAATGAATGAGAACACATAATAATGTCCTTTAAGGTCATTTTGCATAATTACAGCCATTAGCTATTAGCTGATTTTATCAAACATATTTACATACAACAAATGGTCAAACAGCCACACAAAAAACTAATACTAACAACTAGTCAAACAAACCAAGTTAAACAGACAACAACCAACAGCTAATTACCAAACAAGACCATAAACTTGTATTTTCTTTTTAAAAAGTGTTACAAAATTATTAAAAATAATAATAATAATAATAATAATAATAATAATAATAATAATAATAAAAAATAAAAATAAAATAAAAAAAAGAGGAATTTACCATATGATGTGGGACCTTTCGGCAACTCCAATTTGAATCTTTGAGTACTTGTGCTAACTGAAAAAATGAAAATAATGTGTTGAAAAGAGCATCGACATTCGACCCAAATTCATCATTTGCAACAAGCAAGCGCAAAATTCCACCAAATCAGGGTTCTCAGATTTTCAATGTGGCGACACAATTCATTTTCGGTAATATTTGTTCGTCTCATATCATTATGTATTTCTTTGAATTTGCACTTAATTATTTGTAAAACCTTGGAATTTATTGTTTTCAGTTCGATAATTCATTTTTATTTTTTAGGAGATTCATGATTCTGATCAAAGTATTTCTGGTAAGTCAGCTTTAAAATTCTTATTTGAATGAAAAAATCAAACTAATATAGAGCACAATTTTCGAATTATTTTTACCATTTATTGAATTGTTTCCAGACGATGATGATGAAGAAGAACAAGGTCGTAAATGGTCGGAGAACTACGTTTCGTTAGCCGGAACGTCGGATTGTAAGAAGGTAACATTATTTCTAAGTTATTAATGTTGTTAATTGTGGTTTGTGAGTAGATTATTTGCTGTTGTATGAGATTATACTTGTTAAGATATAGTTCTTGAGTATTGACATGAATTTTAATATAACAATGTGCTAGTGAATGTCTTGCGAATTTGAATTCGAGTAATTGAAAATTAATGTAATGCTAGAAGTCGTGGAATGTGGAAAGTAAGACATTGTATAATGGGGCGGGTCTGAGATGGTCTGGAATTTGGCATCTTTACCCTAGTTTGTCCGGGATAATGTGGATATAGAAAGTACGACATCGTGTAAAGGTCCTAAAGGGGGATAATTCTCTATACTCTTTGGTACCATGTTTTGAAAAAGAACTTTTAGTCATTTTAGTGTTGAGATTATATCATTCAAGACATATCGTAGCTTGATGGATGTGTAGTTTTAGTCGCTAAAGAATGGGAGAAAAGCATCTGAGGGTGGTTTAGTTTATAAGTTAACAAGATTAACCAAATGCTTAGTTAATGTGACAAGTGGTGCCTTTATGATTATACTAGTATTGTCACGCTTGGGAAAAAGTTGTCTAGTGAAGAAAGGCAAAATTCGCTGAGCATAAGTGATTAGTTTTGATAACGAGACATGTGTTAATGTAGCTTATTGTGCAGCACGGAAAATGGAATTAATAATTACTTACTCTAATTTGTACAGTAGAATAATGCCTTATGCACATAAAGAACTACAGATTGAGGGGATAATATGTGAATCAGAATTGTATAAACAAAAATTAAGTGGTGGACACTTAATTGTCCAATGGAAGCTCTTTGTGCATGATGCAGAACATGCTAATTTTAATGATAAATAAGAGTGTTCAATTTGGTATAAGGGTTCCTTCAAAAACAAAAACAAAAACAAAAAAGTTTGTATAAGGATAAAGAGTTTAGTTTTGGTTATATATTCTGAAAAACTGCATATACTTTTTCTGTTTCAGAAAAGCCTGGGAGTTGCATCACAACTTGAGTTACTCAAAGGTATTCTCAGACATTGCCTTGATTTCTTTCTATTTCTGATGTATCTTTGTTCTCAAGTGTGTTGATTTTTGTGTTTATTGCTATGCTAGTCCACTTGCATGGCTGTAGTTTTCTTCAACTTGTGATCGTGAAGCTCTTGTTTGTTCCTGGAAGTTGTTTTAAAAATTACCTCTTTAGTTTGCACCTTTTGCAGTTAATAGAAAGCATTGAATTCTCTCTGTTATTCGTACACTTGTTTAGCAGACTGGTGATTATTGTAAATTACCTAAATTATTCTGTTAATTAGTTCTCCTATTATATGAACACTATACAACCTTCTTTTGGGAAGTAAGGGAAATTATATTCTCAATCCATCCACCCCACTGTAACACTGACAAATCTCTGAAGTAGGCCTTGTTTTGAGCTAGGCTAGGACTAGGTTGCCTTCCAATCTATCCCATAAATATATGTGATTTCTTTTCCTTTTGTCTGTTTATGCCAGTAATGATAGAGAAAAAACTTGGTAGAATTTCCTTTTAGCTGGTAGGTAGTGGTGGGGGGCGGGGGATAGAGGCGTGAGTTGAACTTGCAACCAGTTATGATATTCTCTTTTGAGTTCTGTGTTTGTGGTGTTGCCAATTCAGATGGAATCTAATATTTTGTATGCTGTAATTATCTTGCATTTATGCTAGGTATAGCTATTAATCCATTAATTCTGATGTTTATAGAACTAGTGTCTCTTGTACAGGTTTTCGCCAGGTAAATTTGAAATTATGAATGATCAACGATAAAGCTACTCTGTTTTCTTAGTTTTAAAGGCAATCCATCAAGTGTACAGGCTTCCTCCATGGACTTGATGACCTAATGAATGGGTTCCTGCCTTCCTGGTGTTTATTGCTTGAGATGTTTGTCACTGTGTAACTTTCCGCAGTTATGGAGACCTTAGAGCTAAGATATTCCATATCCACGCCCTGCAAAGCAAGGAGTTGCCAGAAGTTGAATATATTTGTGGAAGGCAGCTGAACATTTATCTGAATGAACTTTTTTCTCAGCTATTAATTTGTGTATACATGGATATTACGAATGCTGTGCTGTATATAACAAAGTCTACTCTATCAGAGGGATTCAGGCTTCTTGTCTGAAGATGAGGTGGAAGCACCAGATTTTTACAAGAGGAACCTTGATTGCGAGAATAATGTTGAATGTGACTCAATCATCATAAAAGCTGGTGGTTCGACTTGTGATCCAAATGAGAGGATCTCTAGTGTTAAGGTATATGGTACACTGTTGCTTCAAATTTTTGTTGTGATGCGTTCTGACAAGTGATAATATGCTAATATAATGTCTCTGCTGAGTTACCATGTCACTTCTACTGTTGATCTTGTAATGGCTCCTATCAACATATTGAGACATACTTTTGACTTGCTTTTTCTGTCAGAAAGGAAGGAATATTTTTTCCAAATCCATCAAAGAAGGGAATAATGTATCTGAGATGCTCGATCTTTATACCAAAGGAAATGAAAAACAATTTGAGCCCTGCACATCTTCTGAGGTTGACAAAGAGGCGAGAAGAATGGGTCAACTAAGTGAAAGGGCCAGATGGTCTACATGCCATCCGTTTAATTCAAAAAACAAGAATCTTGGTAAGGGTAGTATCTTGTACATAATCATGCTCCTTTTTCTTCTGCAGATGCTTGGTGCGCTTTCATTTATGTGTTTAATGAGACACCTTTATTTTTGCATGATTCAATGCATTAATTAGCCAGCACTCAGCACTTCAGCAGGCAGTTACTTCAATTCAGCGTTTTGCTCTAATTTTATGTTGCTAAGCAATGTTAATCTCAAAAACATCTGGAGAACATTTTTTTTGTTGACTGGCTATTTAATTGAATTATGCAAAAATTAAGTATTTAGGAGGATCCTGATCTAGATAGTGTGAAGGAGGTAGTTACCTAAAAATGAGTGATTTAGATTTGATTGTTGTGATACTCATAAATGATAAAGATATTGACTTATGTTTGGTACAAAATCAAGATTGGCTGGTTCAAATGGAGGAGCATGCAGAATACTATGTGATTGTAACATGTCTCTGTAGGTGAAGAAAAGTTGTGGCACTGCTTTTCAAACAATTTCGCTATATGGGTTGTAATGCTAATCTATTTAAATATATTTCTTATGAAAGATAAATATGGAGGTATGTAAGTTGACATGGCTGTGTGGTGATTTGAAAGTGTGCAACGAACCCACACTCACCACCAGTCACCCTAGCGTACAGCAGGAGACACAAGCAGCAGCAAGGACAAGAGAAGGGCACACCTCCACTACCAACACAAGCAACGGCTCACTGAACTTGCAGGCTATTTGGCTTATTAACTTAGCTTAGAGACAAAAAATAGTAAATGTAACAATTAAGGCTCTAGGCCACCCTTTCAGTTATTGGCAGTAGTATAAATAGAGGAAACTAAGAAGGAGAGAGGTATTCAGAAATTTGTATTGAGACACTTGGAGAGTAATGGCCTAAAGCCATTGTTACTACGCAAGCTTTAAGCTTTTATCGATTAATCAAACAACCTTCCGACCATTATGTTGTGTTAATCACGCTAGTCCGTGGCAAAGTGTTAGAATCTGTGATGAAAATATTTGCAGTAGGGTCAAAGAGGCATCACATGTGGCAAAATTGACTACAATTGCAAAATGCCAATTCTAAGCGGCACCAGCTTGAAGACTGAAGAGTTCAGATTATGGAGATACTGCAAATGGGGTAAATCAAGGATAAATTGGGTTGGAAGGGGCAAATAAACTGAGAAAATTGGGTCTTCATGATATTTCTTGGGGAAAATTGAAAATGGAGGAGGGCTCACATTGGAATGGCATATTGGTTCATGTAGTTATCTCTATCTTTATGGGATTAAAGCTCTATATTGTTGCTAACTAAATGGCTTTAAACATAGAGGCAAAAAGAGAGAGAGAGAGAGAGTAAACCAGAATATGAAAATGAAAGCAAAGCTACAGAGCATGCTAGGTTTGCAATTCTGATTCATCATCTTGTAATGCAGTAGAGATGTCTATCTTCCTGCATTTGTCATTCTATGTTAAATGCAAAACTTAGAGACTGGTCTTCCTAATTGTTAACCCTTGTCATTTTAGGCATAAAATGCAAAACTTTGTTAGAATTCTTGTTAAGTTAATAACCTAAGCCTTGAAGCCTGTATTTAACCTTACAAGAAATTGATTGAGTCAGTCTAGCCTGTGAAATGTAATAAGCTCTGCATGTTGTACTGAGTTTAATTTGACCTGGTGCAGGTGGAAGATGTAAAATCAAGAAAAAATCTTCATCTTTACAGCCACAAAAACAAGTAGAACTGCGGTCTGTTTGGAAAGATAAGGATCTCAATTCATCCAGTGATGATGAGTTACATGATAAAGCTGAGCCCAGTGGATATCAGCCTATTGATAAGATTAGTCCTGTACTCCTTGGAGGTAGTGATGTTGGGACATCAAGTCTTGCATTGCCATTGGAAGCAGCTATAGAACATGATAATCATAGACGATCCATGGCTGAACTTTTGGACAACCTCCAGGGAAATACCAGCAATCCAATCTTGAAGCCAAAAAAGGTTACATATTATAATACATCCATATTATAATCCCCTCTGATTGCTCTTTATCTCATGTCAGTCTGATAAACCATCTGCTACAGGGTAGTAGGAGGAAAGGACGAGGAAAGCGCGCTGTTATCAGAAGCATGACTTTGCCTGGCAAGGATTTAGTAAGTGATGAAGACCCTTGTGAGGTTATGCATAGTGGATCATCAACAGACAATGAGGTATCTTTATATAGTCACTGATTATAATATGTTTTCTATAGACCATTAAGATAACTTTCTGCTGTTAAAATAAGATCTTCATTCATTGTTTAGGACAATGCTCAAAATTTAGCACTTGCTATAGTAGAATCTGGAAGGAAATCAATGGCAGACAAATTCCAGGAAGCCTTTGATTGTGCTTCAGTGGTAGATAAAAGACCTTCCTTTACAGCACTGAAACAATCTAGGTGAGTGTTGAAAACAGGTGAATCTTGATAAACTCCTTCCATGGAAGGTTTTTATTCCAACCTGCTCCCTGAGCTTTTGTGTATGTGTTTGCATGGCGCAGTACTGGACTCTTTGGAAGATTGCTGCATATGATGCAACAGCAGAAGGAACAAGATGCTGATTTCTTGAAGAAGGTGCAGACTGAAGTTTGGCCGAAAGGTGATAGAAATGTACTGTAGAATAGTACTCAAATTTTTGAGTTTTTTGGTTGAACAATTTTTGTGTGGTCTTTAACTCTTTGTCATATATAATCGTAGTAAGTAACAAATTTGAGTAATTACATTTTTTTTTGGCGATTTAATGTCCCTTTGCCCAGAAACCTGGCTCAGTTTTTTCCTGTTTTACTGCATTCAGATGAAGCAAGGTGCATTGATGTGAAGATATTATCAAGATCCTTTGATGCAAAACTGAGTGTTTGCAGTTGCTCACTTATTGAAAACGAAGAGGTTATTTCTGATTATGGTCTTTTTACTTTTTTAGTCACTTCTCTCTCCCCCCTTTGTAGGAATTCCTTGTGTATTGTTTTTATCTTCTCTTTCAATTTTGTTCTTTGACTATGAATTTTGTTGTATTGTGAAGGACTGTCCATTGGTTGTAGACTTGTAATTTATATGCATTGGATGTCAAATGAACTGGCAGCCTGAGCAAATTTTATTTGTTAAAAATGTTGCAGAGTTCGCTTCAGAACCCTCAGCAGGAAAATTTTGGGAAGATTTGGACCGTCATCTTCAACTCGAGGGTTTGTGGTGATGTCAATCTGGACATAGGGAACTTAATCCGTATCTATCCACCATGGTATGTATTGATGTCATTTTCCTTGCAAAAAAATTGCTTGTAGTCTGTGAGAGTTTGTTATGTACACCCAGGTGTACGGTGCACCTAAAGGTATTGTTTGCTCATATTATCGATTATTGCTCATTTAATCATCAAATGAGCAAAAAGTACTCTTGGGTGCACCGTGCACCCGGATGTATTTAATTATTTTCAGTAGTCTGGTGCTGTATAATTATATATGTAGTGGTAGCTTCGCTACACGTTTTCTTTTAGATGGAAGATTAAGATGTCTTTTTGCTGTAGTATTAAGTATTCATGGCAATTGGCTGTTACTTTTATAGGTCCATCATGCATTATGTGTTGGACTATAGGGCCCACAATCACAACTGACAATTCGAGATTCCTAAGTTGACAGTGTGGGCCCTGCATATATCTTAAAAAGTAGTTTACACGAGAACACACGGTTACTCAAGATATTGTGGATCTGTGAGGAATAGTTAAGGCCTCTAGTGTGGTTTCCATTATTCCATATAACTCCCATTAGGCTTGAAGTGACAAGCACAAAACTTACATTGTGTGGCTTTGCTTCTGAAGTTGGATTATTTAAGTGTTCTCTAGAGGGAATTGTGTTGCAACGTAGAACGGCGCTTGGCCTTGCTATAAAGAAGTTTCCTACTCCGCGCTAATGAATGCATAAATGCACACTAATGAACTGTGCTGCGTAGCAAACTAATGAACTGTACTGTGTATGTGACTTTGATTAGATCCCGTCATGAATGTAAGTGATGAAATGCGACATTTTTGTGAATTTATTGACAGGAAAGAGGTACAGGTCTTAAAGGGTGGAGAGATCATAATTCTGACGTTGTACTTTTCCCAATTCCATACTTGATTCACAATGTTCTACCTCGAATATATACATTTTGAAGAAGATATCAGATTCAAGACACAACATCAGATGATGTTTTATAGATCAAATGATTCCCTAGTGGAGTGAATGTCATAATTCCTCGGTAATCAAGCTAATTTGATCTCCTCCTCTTAGCCCTTTGGTTTCTCAATGTATTGTTTTGAATTGTATTAGAAGAACAAGTAGATTCACTTTCGTAGGGTTATGAAAAGGACAAATATTGTAGAATACAAATATTGTACTTCGTATATGTTTTCATTAAATATACTTAGAAATATCATTTTCTACAATCTACCTCATGTTAGGAATTTTTAAACTCTTTGAGTCCTACATGTAGTCATGTTTTTAAGAATGGCGGTGAAAAAGAGTCGCCAACAAGTTTTAGGAACTTGTAAACCGTTCACGGATGTGAAGGTTACACCCCATTTACAATCACAGAGATTGTTAATTCCATATTGGTCTGGAACAATGGCTGGATGTTCGGGGATGGTACGAATTTAACCTAAAAGATATTGACTCCGCCCTAAATAGGCCTCCATTTAATTCTTATGACATTCATGTACGCTTTTTGATCAACATACATACATCAAGTTAATCCTAAACCTGTGTTAATCTACATTGGTTGATTATTAATGCACAATCAAATCTATTATTGGTAATCACTTGAATTAAAATTAGAGCTGTCAAAAGCTGACCCGACCCGAAATATAGACCCGAACCCGATTATTAACTGACCCATCTAAACTCGGAAAAATGATGACCCGAACCCGATATGACCTGACCTGAAACCAACCCTAGACTCGAGTTAACCCGAGTATTTGAGACCCGAACCCAAACATGAACCGACCTGGAGATGACTCGACCCGAATATAACCCGTAAAATATTGACTTGAACCGAACCCGACCTGAACCGAAATTGACCCAAACCCGTTTTAACCCGCCAAAACCCGAATTTAACCCGACCTGAATTCAACCCGACTTATTCCTAACCCGACCCGAATTTAACCCGACCTATAACCCAATATGTCACTAACCCGACTTGTTATTGACCCGAAATTAACTACCAATCTAGGATTACGTCATATCTTTCTTTCTTTTTTTTTTTTTCCTCCCTAATTCTATGAGTTATTTTCCTATTTATGCTTATTCAAATATTTTCAATAAAATTCTCTATTATCAAATGTATTACAATTTATATGTCTCAAACAAACCTATAAAAATTTATGAATACCACTACTTTTTGGATGCATGTGCATACTTTATTTAAATTTAGTAATTACGATTTACGAATACTACTACTTTTTAGGTGCAAGTTCATTCTATATTTCAATTAAGCAATTATGTTTTACGAATACTACTACTTTGTAGGTGCATGTGCACTAATGTAGTCAATTACGGTTTACAAATACTATTTGACCTTAGGCTTGTTTGTTTTATTTTATATTTTATAAAAAATAAAAAATAAAAAATAAATAAAAAAATTCAAATAAAAAAAAGTTAAAAAAAAAAAATTCGGATAATGATTGAATTGAACGTGATAATGATTGAATGCGAGCATGAGTATATGACAATGACCCGATGATAATCTGATCCAAATAATTTACCTGTACTCGATCATGACTTGACTTGTCTGGACTCGAGAAAGTGGTGACCCAAACTAGAGTTGTTAAAAGGCTTTTATTGGTCTTTTATTTTTCTAATTTTATTATTCATTTGCCTATTTAATCTTATTTAAATGTTTTGAACAATGCCATTTAAATGTTTAAAAAAGATGCCATTAAAAAAAACCGTGAACTCGGATATGAATTTATAAAAAATAAACAAGTTTAGATAATTTCAAATAAAATAAGTTTAGAAAAAAAAATTAATGTATTTTAACTTATCTAAACTAAACCTATTTTATCCGAATTTATATTAACTTATTGTATTTTATCTAAACATGTCATCTCAAATATGAACTTATCTAAAATTGTTATCCCTAAAATGAGTGAAATCAATGTGAATAGATTTGAATAGGGTTTGAACTTATCTTCTAAAAATTTAAACTAAACCTATCTTATTGGAATTAATATGAACTTATTATGTAGATCTTATCTAAACTTATTAGAACTTATTACCTCAAATTTAAATTTATTTGAAATTATTTCTCTTACAATAAATGAAGTAATTGATAATGATTAAATGTGAATGTCATTACATGAACTGTTAATAAATCGACCCAAAAAATGTACCCGAACCTGATATGACCCGACCTGAAATCAACCCGATACCCAGATTAACCCAATATTTGAGACCCAAACCCGAACATGACCCGACTTGTAAATGATCCGACCTAATTATAACCTGCAATTTTTTGACTTGAACTAAATTCGACTTGAACCCGAACATGACACGACTTGTAAATGACCCGACCTGATTGTAACTCGCAAATAATTGACTTGAACCGAACCCGACTTGAACCCGAGAATGACCTGACTTGGAAATGACCCGACCTAATTATACCCCGCAAATTATTGACTCGAACCGAACCCGACTAAAACCCGAGAATGACCCGACCTGATTATAACCCGCAAATTATTGACTTAAACCGAACCCGACTCGAACCGGAGAATGACCCTAACTCGTTTTAACCCGCCGAATTAAACCCGACCTTAACCTGACCCTAACCCGATAAGATGTATGACCCGACGTTACCTGACTCAAGCATGACCCAACCCGAACCCGACCCGTATAGGCTACGACATTAACCCGAAATGACCCGACCCGAGTTGACCCGACCCACACTTACCTGACCCAAACCCGACCTGTTTACCCGAATTAACAGCTCTAATTAAAATCATATTAGTCTAAATCAAATTATTATCATATTAGGCGTGATTTCAATTACAAATTCCTTTTAATCCTGCAAAAAGGGGCATGATGAAGCAATAACAATAAATCATGAATAATTAAGCTAACATATGATTAATATAACAATTATCATCATAAGAACATCTTCAAAACATTGTTAGTAAGATCCTAGGCATGATATTAAACGGATTAATAATAAATCCTAGCATGCCACTAATAATCAAAGCATTATCCTAAACATGATACTAGAAATCATAATAAGCATCCTAAACATGATACTAAGAATTAATGTAATATTGTAAACATAATTTCTAGTCCAAAATCAAAAGAATAATTAAAGACATAATTGAATTACTCACTTTCATGCTCAACCTTCTTTCTATGGAAACAATACACACGTTAGTAATTTTCAAGAAAGTTAAATCAATAAAGTAAATAAATCAAATATCAATTGAAATATATATTTGGGACCAAACCCTCAGATTATCAACCTTTCACGTCAAGGGCGAAGGCAACGTCGAGGATGGTTAAGAGTATTCAAATCTCGTGAATGAGCTAGGTATTGTGACTGATTTGGGAGAATATCAAGGATGTGCTTAGGCTAAGGCTAAGAATATGAGGTTTTAAGAACTTTGGGAATTACAATGGTTATGGATGCTAATTGTTGATGATTGTTGATGATTTGAAGCGGGGGAAAACGACTAATATTTATAAGGAAAAAAGAGAGTCAAAGCGATCAGAAAAGATCATAATTCGAATCAGAATAGAATCCTTTTTGACGCGGGGAGACAGGCTTATCGCGGCGCGCTAGGTGCCAAGGCGCCGCGTTGGTGCTATCGCAGTGCGTTGGTCCTACAGTTTTGAGGTTTTTGTTTTTATCATAACTTTTGCTAGAAATCGGAATAAGATATATATATCGTTGGAAAGATATGGAAGTCTACTTTCCAACCTAATTGGAATCAAATTGATATCTTTTGTAGAATTTGAGATATGATCGAAATAGTAGAACAATATCAGTTTTGGATAGAGTTTAGTATTTTAATTATATCTTTTTCGTTTCTAATCGGAATTGGGATTATAATATATCATTGGAAATATAATTTCAAGGGCTATCTAACCATCCAAAATTTGGATAAAAAATATGAGTCACAAAACTCAGAATGGCTCGGTTTACAAGTATCCAACAAATTTTGGGTTTGGTTTAGTATTTTGACCATAACTTATTTGTTTTATGTCGGATTTGGGCTTATAATATAACGTTGGAAAACTCTTTTCAAGCTCCATCCAACTAAACAATAATTGTACCGGGATTATGGACCAAAATAATCTGATTTGGACGTTTTTATGAGTTGGACAGGAAATGAATGATTTTGAGCGGACTCGAAATGAATGATTTTGGGTTTAAAGACAAGAAATTAATGATTTTGGATTAAAACATTTTAAGTAAGGTTAGGGTATGGTCAAGGATTAAGAGAACTTCACGAGACACTTCAACTCCTCACCGATTTCGTTAATCAAAGACGTGAAAGGTACTCATCACTGAGTTTGGTTTATGGGGAGGCACAATCAGATGTCTACACTCATCTCCTTTATTTGTTTTACTATAAGTTGGATTCGTGAGAAGTTGATAAAAGGCAAAGATCCACCAAGTTAAGTTTAACCTAGTGGAAAAGATGGGGTTCAATCCTTATTAGGGGGTACTTTGAGATTGAGGATACCTAATCCTTTTCTTTGACTTTCTAAGTGTTATCCCGCTAAACTAAGCCGAGTTGACATGTGTGGGTTTCTATTATTTTAACAGCAAATACCTATGATGGCTATGAAAGTTTATGTACTGCGCTTTGCCTACAAAATTAGCCACTATCCTCTAATAAATACTTGCAATAATCTGCATGATTTTGTTAACTGTATTTGAAGAATCTCCACACCTGTTTTGAGTTGTCATGATAATTACTGATTATAATCGTTAAAGATAGAATAATGATATGCTTGTAATATGCTATCCTTTTTTATTTGGTTCAAAATATCCTATACTTTTGTACTTCCAAAAGTTCCAACCTACGGAGTACAATTTACCCAGAAATTCTTTTCAATTTTTTTTTACCTACTTTTTTTATTTTTAATTTTTGTTTATATTCTTCTTTTTGACTCCATATTTTGGGTGGAGATATTTTTTGTCATTAATTAATGGAAGCAACTAGGCAATTTGCATGTCTTCTCTGTAAACAAATAAAGGTGACTTTACTTTGAATTTTCTTGTGACCCACTATTTCCAAAAAGATAATGACTTAATATTTGTTTTATTTATTTAATTTATTTAATTTATTTCACCAAGAAAGAAACTTTCAGAACTTCTACGCGTCATAAACGAGTATGCCCGTTATTATTTTATCTATTAATACTCCTTACGCCTGCATTAGAACGTTTCGT